TTTCCTCATATTCTAAGCAAATGACACGAAGATCCTAGCTTTGTTCCACACAGCTTCCCACATATCATCTTCAAGGAAGATCAGTCTGAATATAGTATGGAAACTCCCTTCTTTACATGTTTATTATCTTATCCTTATTTTGAAAATGTCCTATGTCTTTTCTACACATTTCAATTTAATTCTGACCCTTTCTCTAAATGCCTGAAAATACTTTAAAAGTATCTTGTATTGTCTTCTGTCATAACCTTGTACTTTACTTCCTATGGAGGAAGAGTGTTTTAGAAGGGTAAATTAGTTATTTTCACTTCCCTTATCTCTATTATTAATGGTTTTTGTGTATCCATTCCACTCATATTTAATAAAGAGGAAAAAATCCTTTAGGACAAAAGGTGCCATGTTGTACTTTGTACCTTCTATTTATACTTGCTCAAAAGGTTTCTACCTTCATTCAAACAGTGGCTAAAACCTGAATTGTGAAAACAAGCACATTTTTTCTCTGCTCATGCTGCAGCGATCAAGCATAGTAAAAAGAGAAACTGGAATAGCTTCTTTTTGTGGAGTGACCACAGAAATTGTTATTAATTCCCAGTCATAGCTGGGAAAATCTGCTGAAGATGGGTAAGTTGACAAATGTCATTAATGTCACTAAGGGGAAAATTAAACCTTAAAAGAGTATTTTTGTTGTTCTACATGAATAGAAAATGAAAAAGTTAAATTCTTAGGGACCTTTGGTGAATGCTGAGGGTTGGCAATTACATCATAAATAAGCAAATAGCTTATTACTTTTAGTAAATACATAAATACTTTGTTCATACAGAGGACAATGAGCACTTACATTCCACTTGCTTTACCTGCTGGTTTTAGCCTGGAAAAACACAGTAGGTAGCTTTTGACAGCTCTCTTGTTATTCCTTTCTTGTTTTGAACAAGAAAATACCTTGCCCATTTCCCTGATCTTGCCAACTAAGTCTACTGTATTCCTTTGGCTCTCTTTGGAAAAGCAAACATCTTCCAGCAATTCATCCACTTCCCTTTATAACCTCATAATCATACTTCGCATTTAATTCTTTTCCTCTTCTCACACCATTTCGCCTGAAAATCTTCTGTCAGGTCCTCTTAAATTTCCTGGCACTACCCATAACTGTCCTTGTCCCCATTCAGCCTCTTACACAAACCTTCAGACTGTCTAGCACTCATTTCTGCAGCGCTAAGATTTTTGGTATTGCCAGGTCCCACTGCTCTGATTCCAGCTGATGCAAAAGGCTGCTACGTATCTTCTCACAGGTACAAGGCAACCTGGTCAAACAACCTTTACCCTCACATACCTCCATTAGCTCTCATAATGTCTCAATTCAGTTAAAAAGCAATCCACTTGCTTTTAGAAGTCTGTATTGATTCACTCCAACATCTGAGTCTCCGCTGTCTTTCTCTTTTCCTCTTCTTTCTAGGAATGTAACAACTGCCTGAATGAATAAGTTCAGTAGCATGTCTCTGGCAACAGACATTACTACATGCTTCAGTACAAGGAGTAAGAAATAAAATGGACAGATATTTAAAGCTGTGCACAGAGGAAGTTTCTTCAGAGTCCTTTAAATGAAAACCTGACTTCTGTCCTGAGACATTAGAAGAGATATTTGTTTACCCTGATAAGTACACTTGAAGATGTTAGAATAATTAATAAAATTTTAGTCAGTTTGCGTTTTTTTAAATAATATGGTTGGAGTTTAAGTTCTTCCTATTCTTTGTGTCAGGTTCCCACCTGTGAAGAAGGTGGGATTCATTAGAATTCATTAGAAATACGTAGCAGCCCTTCCTCAGGTAGTTCCTGCTATTTGGAACATCCTTCCAACATTTTACTATATATCCTGACACTTCTTGAGGTATTCACCCTCAGCACTTTAAACCTGAGCTGAAAGCCATTCCCGTCTCTTGTCTCATCTCCTTACAGTTCTTCTGGTAATTAGCAGATCATATTTGCATGTCACACTATTACTATCCAAACAGGTTTTCTTATTACTATCCAAACAGGTTTTAGGTTAAGGTTGTCTTATTATAGTAAAGGACACTTTACAGTGCCAACCCTTCTTATTCTGATTTCAGACACATAGGCACTGAAGAATAAGAACATCATAATCAGTCTGCCACAGAAAAATGTGATTGTGTAACCAAAGGATCCCATGGCACTTTGAAGAAGGGCCAGAAGACTGTGAGGGGTAAAAAACTCTTAGACGAACAATTTTGGAGACTAAGATGAAGAGTGAATAGGTACCATGGGAAAAAGAAAAAGTATAAATGTTCCAGCACAGAATATTGCCTAAGATACCTCTAGGGGGGCAGGTATATTTTTTGGATCAGCAATGGAAGAAGCAAGAGAACTCCGACTGATCTATGAGTAAGCAGAATATTCAGAAACTGCCAGGATTGGAGGGTCTTTTTTTCATCATCTTTAATTCAATGGAGAGAAAATTTTTGCTATGGCCCTTTATTCTGAAAGCTTATCTTTCTCCAGTTTGCTTTTCTGGTACCCTTCATGCTTTCCTGTACCTTTTTGCTTTCTTTCTGCATGTAAAGTCCTGAAATTTCCATCTCTGCTTGTATAATAATAATAGGAATAATAATAATTGTTATAATAACACAGCAACCACAAGCATCGCTAAAGTGAAAAGCTGCTGAAGGGATCAAAAGGAAGGGGTATGGTTGAGATAGTCCTTGTGATGGAGGAAGCAGGTCCTTGTTAGTATGAGCTGTCACTACAAATCGAGGGCAGCTCATCTCAAGCTCACTCCTAACAATCCTGAGAAAGAGGAAGGAAAAAAAACCTGCAACCAAACACAAAAAAGAAGCCACTCAGTACACATGGCTGTTTAAGAAAGTTGGCCTCCCTTGAAACTGCTTCAGTGCAAAGGAGAGGCACCTTAGAGAGAAACACCCACACACTCAAGACACCTAAAGACACCAAGAGATGCCTGGAGGAATAGGAGTGGTCAGAAAAATCAAACAGAAGCAAAAGAATAGCATAGATTTGGTGATTCCGGGAAGGAAGAGGAAGTAGCTGCTCAATTAAATTATCTCTGATATAGATGAGGAAGGTTGAGATGAGAAGTATGAAGAAAGAGAATTCTGGAGGATGTTAATAGAACACCCACCTGTCTCCAGGAAAAGCCAAAGGAACTGTCTGGAATTACCATACAAATTACCCAGGCACATTTTACTGTAAACAAAAACTGATCACCCACTTGCAGCCAGCCTCTTAAGGGGACCAGGTATCCTACAGATGCTCTGCTACTCAGTGTCTGTCAGGTAACATTTCAAACGGTAGAAACAGATGTTGTCAATCCCTTGGCATCCTACCAAACAGTAGGAAATTACTTGGGGTGTATACATATTTCTTTCCATATGATAGAAGCAGAAATGATAAGATGTGATTTAAACAAGATCATGATGCCATATCTGGCATCATAGCACTTTTCTTGAGATTTATCAAAACCCTTGTTTTGCAGGGGTTTCTACATGACACTCTGGAATCTCATTTGAGATTTGTTTCAGTTTAACATTTACACAACTCTAAATGTTTGCAGACATTTTCTGTCACTCAGTTCAAAATGTTCCCCCTCTTTCTCCTCCTCGTCACATTACTCCTCATTATATCCTCTTAAACAAGCTGTGTACAATTCCTCTCCATATTAGCTTATACATGCTTCTAAAAAACAACATATGCCCAGTCTCTTAATGCTGACATTTAGCAGAACTCTATGCCTGTACATATGGAGCTCTCTCCAGCTCCAGTCCCTGTAGATGGTGTTTACAGGAAATCAGAATTCGTCTGACTGCCCACACAAGCCATTAGTATCCTTGTTTAGTCATCCCTATGGTTTAGTTCCTAGTTGTAAGGATCACAACATCTTTGAATATAACTGTACAACACATTTTAATAATTCTACCATGTAAAAAGCAAAACAAAGTTTCTTATTAACAGGAGAATAGTTTTCCAAGACCACATATTAGAACAGCAATGCTGAAAAGGCAAGAACAAGGAAGAAGAAAATACACGTCATGTAGAAGAGCACAGAGCAATTTCAATAAAACAGGAATGGTGATTCTGCTTCTGGATATTTTATCAAAACTCCATTTAACGGCTCTCCAGGTATTGTAAAACCATGGTTGTCATATCCTGTTATGACCCACCAGACTACACAATCTTAACACATGCCATCCCAGGAACATGTACATTTAGGTGATGAGAAAATATTGTATACATTCTTTCTTGTCATACAGCACCTCTCTGTAATTTTACCTGTACCTTCATCTTTAGACAGTGCTTATCTGTTTTTCCACTTCCTTATTTTATTATGCAGAAAGGTAAAGGTGTATGGATTTGGTGAAATACTCAATACTCTTGTTAAAGTGCAGTAGAGTATGACTGAAATGAGGAGAATGGACGGTAGAATACAGGAACAAGAGAGGATGGAAAACTAGAGTATCTCAAAACACAGAAATACAAAAAAGAAATGTGAATGGTAAAAAATGCTAGAAAGTATGACTGAAGAATAAGAAGATGAAATGGAGAAAAGTAGGAGATGGAGAAGATGAAGAGGAAATGAAGAAATGCTCACCAAGGCCTGTTCTGGCAAGCTGACGCTCATAAAATTCCTGTCAAACCCTGGCAGTGTCCCCTTTCCTGCACAATGAAACCACATGCCTTGTCTGACATGCAGAGCTACATCTCCCATTGGCGTCTTCTCCAGGGCAGCTTTTTCCTCAACAATCACATCAGCTGCTCTACTCATTTTTCTGCCAAGAGGGGAAGAATGGAAAGCCCATTCAGAGAAGGAATGAATGAATGAGAAGGGCAGAAGTGAAACTGTGGAGCTGGCATGGAAGGATAAAAAAGGGCAAAACACACAAGTAAAAAGACAAAGCTCCAGGATTCAAAAGATCAAAGCAAATCAAGTGAGAGACAGAAGTAGAAATTCTGGGACTCGGACACAGAGGTCTCCTCACCTGACTGGCTGGTGCTAACATTGATGGTGGCATAGTGGGGTGTTTCTGAACTCAATTCAGTCACCAAGTTGACAGCCTGGATCTCAAAGGTGTACTGCACACGGGCCAGGAGGTTGGAGACTTGCACGCGGCTTTCTGTCAGGCCCACTTGGCGTGGTTCAAATTGAACGCTGTCCCCACAGCGCACACACGGCCCTGAGGACCCGGCTGGGCACACTTTGCAGATGACATTGAAGAAAACATCCTTGCGGCCACCCAGGTCCTTTGGGAGGCGCCAGGTCAGGAGCACGTTGGAGCCAACAATTTCATAGCTAAGGTCACGAGGAGCAGAAGGGATGCCTAGAAGACAGAATGAAAGATCAAAACCCCATGAAAGAATGGGAAAGAGGTGGGGGAGGGGAGAAGATAAAGCAAAGGGAAAAGAGCAGAAGAAAAAGTTGCTTTTTCTTCTCATTCTTACTCTACTCTAGTTGTTTCTCAGAACAAGGCTAAGAAAAACATATTCTTCGCTAGATCAAGCACACACATTAACAAAGGAGCAACTGCATTATCACATTTTAGAGAAACAAAATTATAAAGAAGGGTCTTTGTTTCAAGGGTGTGACTTTTTCATTTCCCTAAAAGAACATTGTTTAGGGAAACCTAAGTCCTTTGAAATGTTACACAAGTTTAGTAAATGTATGTCTCTACTGAGACCTTGAATTCTCTCCTTTGGCACCTAATATCTCTGAACTCTCTCAGACTTCAGTTAACCTGTCCCATTTATTGCAGGAACTGGACACCAGTTTCCCAGTGATTATTCCTGATGCCAGCAAGATTCCTCAATGGCAATGTGGTTAAACTCTGACAGCTGAAATACTGCCCATTCTGTGCATTCAACACTTCCCCTGCAGTCACAATGAAGAGAAGGAGGAAAATGCAGAGGGTCAGAATAAGGTATGGTGATGAGAATGGGACAGAACACTGCAGCTAAAAACTGAAAAGTTCAGACAGGTAAAATAGGCAGCATTACTGCACTGCTAAACCTGGGCACAGACACAAAGCAAGAGGGGAAGGGCAGGGACAGAGAGGCTCAGTAACGGGGAGGGGCAAGGAAAACATTATTTACAGAACATTTCCCTCTGAAGGCTGTAATGAAATCCAAGAATCCTCCTTCTCACCACTGGTCTGTAGTCAAGAAATACTGATGAAAAAGCAAAACATTATCCTTGTCTAACACTAAGCATTGTAAAGGATGTCATCCTCTATTAGTACAAGTGCATAAGACCTTTGTGGGGGGAACTCTCTGGATGCAATTTAGCTCATTGCTGGAGCATTTGAGTATTTCCAATAGCTATATTTCCCATGTTGTTAAAAATATAAATTATGTTGGAAAATTGCACACAGAAGACTGTTAAATAATGTATTACTGAAAGAGGAAGTATTTGTACATCATGAAATGCCAGAATTATGTTTTGTTTTTTGATCTTAACGGGGCTCACTCAACATTTGCAGTGTGGTATAGCATTTAATTGCATGATCATGCACTAGTTTTCCCTGAGCATTCTCACTACAGTCAATGCAAAGGACAGACAACTGCTCAGGAATAAATAATCCCTGCAAATCACAGACTGTTTGATGCTGGCTGTTGAAGGTGGATTCTGTGCAGTATAGGAAGCAAGGGATTACAGAAAAACCCCACAATCACATTTCCTAATTTCTGAGTATTTAACTTCTGAGCCATACAGTGTTTCCCTGACACTTCTACAAAGTTCAAGGGTGATGCTTGACATATTATTTAAGTTATATTTTTGAGTGCTAACAGGTATCTTTATTTAATTTTCTGCATCTACTTATTCTTTCTGGACCTATTAATAGTCAATGACTGCAAAATGTCATAACTGATGAGAACCACTGAGAAGCTAATGGAAAAACAAACTATTTTTCCACAAATAAAATTCACAGAATTTGAATTCTGTGCAATAAATATAGTCTTCACACTTTGAATGAAAAAGGGAAGAAAATACTGGTTAACTCCTTCAATGAATACCTTGTGTATGAAATGAGTTTAGCACTTCATGAGAAATTAGTATGCCATTCTCTCATGAAAAGCTGTACCTTATGCATACTTGCAATGGACTTATTTAAGATTGGAGGAGTCATCCACAATTTGACATTTTTTAATTTCTGAAACCTAGTATTGCAACACTCCAGTATTCTCAAAATTCAGTTTCACCAACGTATCAGCACAGTAAAAAGCATGTAGGAACACTTCTGCTCTGTCATCTACATTCAGTGAGTGGATATACCCTGTAGTCAACTGCAGGAGCAAAGGGAAGTTTAGGATTATTCCAGCAGTCTTGAGGAGAGGTGAATTGCAACTCCCCTGAATCATTTGGGCACACCCTGTCTCATTAACTGCCCTTCTTGCTTTCAAACACTTTGTCCAAATACTTACCAGTGCAGGGAGCATCAGAATTGTCTGAAGCTGATCGATAGTAGCGGTTCTGACACACACATTCACGGGAACCTGGCAGTGGAGCGTGGCTGTGGGCAGGGCACAGATGGCAGGGGTCATCTCCCACAGACACTTTAAAGAAGCCCAGTGGACAGGCTAAAGATGAGGAAAATGAGAGAGGCAAAAGCAGGAGAAATATTAATTCAGATTTCATGGAGCATGTACTATTCAAGTTGCAAATCCAAAACAATTTATTTTATTCTATATTTAAGTCCTTAAATTGATTCACTGGTAGATGAAAGAGAAGCAGTCCAGAGACAGCTTTGGCCATCTGAATTAATGGTCTTCTCATTACTCATTCAAAGAGCTTTAAAATTGGAGAAGCCAAAGAGCACAGCCGTATGATTGTTTGAAAATACCATACAGTTACATGTATTACCCACATCCACTTCCCCCCACCCAACACACCTATAATAATTGCTTAAAGTAGTATACACTACCATGGCTGATTTTACATCAAAATGAAGGGCAAACACTAAGATTGGCAGTCCTATTGTTTTCCTGTAGATCTGAAAACTTCCCGGTAATGGATAAAATCATCTTAATTAGTCAAATTTTATCCACAAATGCATAGAAACATGTATATGCAACAAGCTGAAACAAGGATGGAAATCCATCCTACAGGGAAAGAGAATACAAAAATAATAACATTAACAATCTGGGAGTATGGCACATTCTAGGTTTGGCAAAGATGCTATGCTGAACTACCTAATAGGAGGTGCTGAGACCTTACACTGAAGTGCTAGGGTACAGCTTTTACCATTTTTATCTAAGTTTTATGCAAGTTTTCTAAAGTTGATTTTCTATAAATAGATCTATACATAGATCTATAAATAGATCCAGCTCTTTTAGATTTTATGGACTAATAAGCTCAGGTGAAAGTTCATTTGCAGACTGGCATTTGGTTAGCTAACTTCACAATAAAGAGCATTTACAAGGAATGGGACCCTTTAGATAGACCCCAGCTGAGCATTTGATGTCAAAACACACAAAGGACACCCTCAAGACAGCAAACTGTTCTAGTGGTTACCAGAAGCAGAATATCCCCAAGGATTGTGGATAGCAAAAAATTATCTGAAGAAAGAAAATATGTAAGAGAAGAATATTGTATACAGGTGTTATACGAAATTGGGATCAGATGTGTTCAATTCCCTTTGCAGTTACAGGCGCAGTCCAGACATAACAGCCCACAATATCTGTGGAGTCCCATCAGCTCTATACCTCTTCTTCAGCATATTACTTCATCTTCTCTCTCAAAATTCTTCTTGGCTGAAGAGCAACCTCCATATGTACAGTGATAAGAGTGGATAAGACCTGGAACAGGTCAGACCGTAAAAGGGAGTTCAATAACTCTGAATGATAGCTATTAAATAGGAGAACACTGGTTCTTCCAAGCACTAAAAAATTGACAAAATTCAATGTGATACATTGCTATTCAGTGTGTGATACGTTGCTAAAAGGGAAGAAGAGACTGGAATTTTTTCATATGATGCATGATGGTAAGAAAAGAGCAACTGCCTTTGCTTCAGGCCTGTATCCAACAAAAAATCAAATTGTTCTTATATGGAGAGATATAAGATGTCCCAATGGATAAAAAAAGTAAGTAAGATTTTGACCATGTTATGAATTATACCCCTTTCACTCAGTTTAAGGCTCTGCTAACAAGCCACAAAATGTAGAATATAATTTTCCACACTAACTGGCAAATGCACCTGCACTGAAACTATGAGTGTTTGCACCTGTGCTGAAACTATGAGTATTATGAATTGGAAGTTCTCATCCAACTCACTGCAGCATCATTCAACTAAAATGCACCAATTCCAGGGATCTTTATTTATTTCAAATTTAAGAATGCTGAACTGAATGTGACTTTTTTTTCTTACAAGTGATTTTATCTCATTTGTTTTTTCCTGCATCAAACTCCTTCTCAAGCTTTTGTCAAGGCTTAGAACTAATGGCACATTCATTCCACTTGTCAAAGTAGACACTGTAGAAGATTTCTTTTCTTTCATTTGGCACTAAGGTCTGTTACCAAGTGGGACAACAACCTTGCTGTTGGTCACAGTAGTGAAAATGAATAGGTAATGGTAATGTCTGTCATCCAGGTGATGCTAGAAGGAAATCTGTAAAGGATACGGACTTTATCCCTGCAGTACAAAACTATATTTACCCTACAAGGGCACTGCTAAGAGAATTCAGGTAGGTTCATATTTAGCCCAATTGCAAATCATATGGAAAGCCAGCAAAGCCGTGAATTTGTCTGGTATTTAGTAAATAGAATTTATTTAAAAATAAATCCATTGTGATAGAAATAAACAAATATTTATTTTTACACAGTTCTTTGAAGTCTACCAGCAGGTTGCTGTTGAGCCTGGGGATGCAGGGATGAGGTCTGCAGGGATGGTACACTATTGATGAATTAGACAAAGATAGTAAGCAAAAGTGCAATGTTGTAGGTTTTATGTAAAGGAACGAACATGTGGCACCTCGATAAAGAAAGCCAGTTCATATAAGGTAGAACAAGTCTGTTGCTTAAAACACCATGCAAGATTTCACCAATGGTACGGGCAGTCACTCCAAGTGACCATAAGCACTTTGGAATAGGTTATGTGTAACAAATACTAGAGATCAAACACATACATCTGTTCTTCCTTATTTGCTCCACAAAATCTAATTTCATCATCCATGCTCTGTGCTTGACATTATATGCCTGAACCATATGCAAAGGTGTGCTATTGCTCTCTCCCTAGAACTGCCAGTGTGACTGCTGTCACACTTAGGCGATTTCTTGCTACCTGTGAGCTCTCTTACTCATTGAGGCAGCATCTGTTTTTGAATGAAGTTCTGAAACTGTAAAAGTCAGTGAATGAAGAATTGTTTATTTATGCTGAAAAGATATGACAGCCTGAAAACAGGTGACTTTACAGTAAATTACAGGTTACAAGAGCAATACACAAATTACAGTAGTAGGCTTCCGAGAAAAACTTCAAATATGAGCAACAGACAAAAAAGAAGGGGAAAAAAAGGCCTAACTATATTTAAAAAGGAACCTGGCCTGTTTCTGAAGTGATTTTGTGATACAGGTACTATTCAGAGCAAAGTAGCAGACAATGTAAACAGTTCCAATGTCTCCACACCCAACACTCCCTTGTCCTATATTCAACTTCAGCAGAGTGTGAAGTAGACACATAGGCTCTTCTATAGTAAGCACTCCACTACAGCTCAGTACACTGAACAAATAAAACTTCACTGCAGCTGTTTCACCAAAGCCCCACAAATTTTAGTAATGGCAGCCTGGAATAGATTGATATCTTGGCTACACCAGGGTGTCTCAGAGAGCTTCAGATGCTTATTTGTGAAAAACTGAATGGAGCTGAGAGCTGAGAGCTGAGAGCTGGAATTAGCCTCCCATTCAGAGGCATTGATCCTCAAGGGGGACTTCAACCACCCTAATATCTGCTGGAGGAGGAAGGGCATAAGTGATCCAGGAAGTTCTGGAACACATCAGCAACTACTTCCTGACCCAAGGAATAGAGGAGACAATGAGGGAGCTGCTCCTTGGATCTTATGCTCACAAACAAAGAAGGGCTCATTGTTGATGTGAAGGCTGAAGGCAGCCTGGGCTTCACTGACCACGAGATGGTGGAGTTCAAGATCCTGAGGGCAGTGAGCAAAGCAAAAAAGAGAGCTCACTCTCAGAGAGCAGATGTGACCCCCTTGGTGATCTGGAGGAGTCCCCAAGACATAAGGTCTGAGAGGAAAGAGTGGGTCCAAAAAAGCTAGTTCATACGCATTGGTTATCTCTTCCACGTGCAAAAGCTGTTCACCCCAACAAGCAGGAATTCAGGCAAAAAATGCCAGGAGGCCTGCATGTTTGAACAAGGAACTCCTAGCTAATCTCTAACACAAAAAAAAAGGAAGGATACAGAGGACAGGTAGCCTGGGAGGAACAGAGAGGCACTGTCCAAACATGTAGACACATGGCTGGGAAAGCCAAAGCCTGCCTGGAATCACACCTGGCAACTGAGGTCAAAAGCAAGAAGGGTTTCTCTAAGTACAGAAGTGGCTAAAGGAAGACCAGAGAAAATGTGGGCCTACTGCTGGGTGGCACGGGGGTCCTGGTGACACAGGGTATCTTCTTCCCATCAGTCTTTATTAGCAAGACTGGCTTTTAGAACTCCAGGCCCTGCAGACCTGGGAGAAGGCTGAAGTAAGGAAGACTTTCTTCCTCATACCAGATCAGTTTGCATAAATATATAGGTGACTAATATCTAGGTAAACTAGATAATTCCACAAGCCCTAACGGGATGCATCCATCAGGGAGCTGGCTGATGTCATTTTGAGGTCACTCTTGATAACCTTTGAATGAGTGTGGTCATGGCGAGAGGTGCTTGAGTAATAGCATGCAGCTTGGGCTCACCTTCATCCTTGGGATGCTGACGGAACAACTAATCCTGGATACCTTTTCTGGGCACACGAAGGACAAGAAAGTAATTGTGAGAGCCAGTATGGATTCTCAGAAGGAAACTCAGGCTTGACCAACCTTCTAGGATGAAATTCCTGGCTTGGTAGATGAGAGGAGAGCAGTGGATAGTGACTTCCTTGACATCAGGAAGGCGTCCTACACCTTTTCCCATGATATCCTCATAGAGAGCGCAGTATGGGCTTTAGGCATTGTCTCCCATAGTATCCCCACAGACAACCTGAATTTGATGAAGTGTGGGCTGGATGAGCAGACAGTGAGGTTAACTGAAGACTTGCTGAACAACTGAACCCAGAGGGTGATGAACAGTGGCATGAAGTTTAGTCAGAGGCCAGCATCTAGTGGTGCACCGCAGGCCTCAATACTGGGTCCAATATTGTTCAACATCTTTATTAATGAAATGGATGATGAGTGTACCCTCAGCAAGCGTGCTGATGACAAAAGACTGGTAGCAGCGGTTGATACACCAGCAGGCTGTGTTGCCATGCAGAGGGACCTTGAGAGCCTGGAAAAATGCACTGAGAAGATCCTCATGAAGTTTAGCAAGGAGAAGTACAGACTCCTGCACCTGGGAAAAAATAAATCCATGAACCAGTATATGCTGGGGGCTGAC